GGAGTTGACTAGACAGCTTCCATACATAGAAAATACTGTTTAACGTAAATGGCAGAATTGCTGTAGAGCAAAAGAATGAACATTTCAAATTGAACAAAAAGTCCATCTGTGTTTATTTTTCTCAATGCCTCAATTCTGAATTCTTAGGCATCAATTCTTATGCCTCCGTCAGATTGTTTTGATAAAAGGAAAGCTTGGAAAACTGCCTTTTGCAGTTCCAGACAGTGAATTTTAAACATTGCTTATGGTCTTTGTTATGGATTGTTTGGTTTACAACATCAGCAAAATGAATCCTGTAACTTCAGCAAGAGTCTGAAAACACTGTCTTCACACCTGATCTTGACTATGAGATATGTCATCTGTACCTGTTTTACTACTTCTGTGCTATGTTTCTTGTACTGCATGCAATTAATGCAATGCAGTGCAAATTTACAGTACCTTCATCTGGACAGTTAGGTGGGTGGTTCCATAAGGAGCACACTTCCCATTTCAGGGGTTTATAATCAGTCAGTCAGGGAAAAAAATACTCGTGTACGTGGAGCAGCAGTTCCAAAAGTCTGAAGAGAAGAACGTGCATTCGTGCAGATCAATTGCATTCTTAGGCGCAGTATGTCCAACATATTCTATACCCTAAATAATGAGAATGAGGTGTCTGAACACATTATCCATGTCCATAAATTAAGGAAATCCTGTTGACTCATAGATGATTCAACACTAAAACTGTTGCCATGATTTAACCCCAGCTGGCAACTAAGGATCACGCAACCGCTCACTCCCTCCCACTCAGTGGGATGGGGGAGAGAATCAGAAGGGTAAAAGTGAGAAAACTCGTGGGTTGGGATAAAGACAGTTTAATAGGCAAAGCAAAAGCTGTGACTGCAAGCAAAGCACAACAAGGAATTCATTCACCACTTCGCATGGGCAGGCAGGTATTCAGCCATCCCCTGGAAAGCCGGGATCCATCACTTGGTTACTTGGGAAGACAAATGCTATCACTCTGAATGTCCCCCTCTTCCTTCTTTCCCCAGATTCATTGCTGAACATGATGCCATATGGTATGGGATACCCCTTTGGTCAGTTAGAGCAAACTGTCCCAGCTCTGTCCCCTTCCAAGCCTACTCGCTGGTGGGGTGGGGCAAAAATCAGAAATGGCTTTAACTCTGTTAGCACTGCTCAGCAGTAACAAAAACATCCCTGTGTTATCAATGTTGTTTCCAGCACTAATCCAAAACATAGCCCCATACTAGTTACTATGAAGTTAATTATCTCAGCAGAAGCCAGCAGGCCAGTCCAAAGCTGCTTAGGTAGAAAGCCTAGCTCTTGGAAAAGTAAATGGTAGGCTCCTACCTCAGATGCTCAGAAATACTGTGGAATTCACTGTGTTAGGTGCATGTTATTAATCAGTACAAAGTTACTGTAGTGCTAATGGAGTTGTGAATTACTGTTTTCTGATTGATGGATACAACCCATAGGATTAGCTCTAATCAGGTACTTCAAATAATGAGAATCTCTCTACCTGGTATTGAAGTAAGTCACACAAAACTGTGCTTCCACAAATCTTGGCAGAGTTTGGATAGGGAAGAATACAAATTAAGTAAATCAACGTGAAAGAAATATTTGCTTTTATTGGTCCACTAAATAACAAAAAATAAGGATATATCTAACTTCATAGGTCGTGCAAATTTACATATTTACAAATTCCAATTTAGTGCAAAACTAAACAGAAAAATCTGGGAGTTTAAAAAAGGGGTTCCTTCCTCCCACAGAGGAGAAATTACATCCTGCAAATCGTGTAGCTATTATATTTCATTAGACAAGCAAACAGTTTAGTTTTATATATTTGAGTACATTTTCCCTTTAAATGCAAAGTCATATATTTCTTAAAAGACAGATTTAATTGTCAGGAAGCTCAATTTTCATCATTATATTTATCATATAATCTCTTTGCAAATATGTACATGGATAGAATATTTCAATTTATTTTAATGGGAGGGATTTATTTTCTCAAAATGATGTAATTCCAAAAGTGAGGATGGATAATAAATATATAAAACTGAACTCTTAATGTTCATGCAAACTTCATATACACATAGTGCATAGCAGCTAAAACTCTGTAAAAAATAAGAACCTACTAAAAATATTTCCTTTAAAGCAATTGCCTACATTTAATATTTAAGCCTCAGGGAAAAATTAAAGCAACTACACTTTTACTGCATAACATTCTCCTAAAACACTGATAAGTGCTTCACTTCTGATAAGACAGCATACATCAGGAATAAACTGTATTAAGGTACTAGCAGATGAGGGGACAAAGAAAATCATGCTCAGAAAGATGAGAAAGATGCTGAATAAAAAATAAAAATATAACCCCAAAGAAATCAACAAGATTTCAAAATAAGGGTTAGTGTTGCTCTATACAGTCTTCAGATGTTATTGAAGATACTGACTTTTCTCTAGTTGTATTCTTTACCTCTACATTTTTCTGTCAGTCTAAATCTAGTCTTTATGCATTTCCAAATCAGACGGATAAAGCACTCCCAAGCAAGCAATAGGGAGGAATCATATCAAAGACAATAAAGCATGACAGATAAAGGCAGTGCTAGCTCATAATAATAAAATACAGGAGAACAATCCAATTTTCACCAGGTTGCATGGTCCATGGATTGTAGCGGAAGAGGATATTCAGATACTAGTATGGAATCAAAATACTGTAAGGGGCTTGAAAAGGCAGAGATAAGTCACATTTTTACTTGAATGTATACAATCATTACATATAGTTCGTTAGTACTGATTTGACATAAATAAAAATAGAGCAGTACAGAAAGCAACTATCTTGCAAAAAAAGAATTTCACTATGATATCGTATGACTTTTTTCGTAATTAAAACACTGTAGAGAATGACACACACTTTGAGGCATGTATACAAAATCACCCTTAAGTGACTAATATGAATGAGCTTTACCAGTTTAATTTTAGTTAATGATGATTTGCATTTCTGAAGATAGTTTCCTTCAGAATCAATTAAAAGAAATGGGTCTATTCACAGATAGATATACTACTCTGAATAAGAAACATTAGTAAGTCTTCAAGCATTACATTTTTATTAAAAAATAAACTCTTCCCCTTTAATAAAATGCATACTTGTAAATATAAATTTAGCCAAAGAATCAAACGAATGGTTTATTCATAAAGAATAGGATTAAGTTAATCTTAGGGGTTTTGCTTCTTTGCTTGCTTGCTTGATTTGTTTTCCCCAGAATAATATGGTGGGCTTCAGGCAGTGATTTTGGCATTTTACTCGCTTTATGGTACTGTGTAGGTGCGCCACTTGAACTAGTTTCACATGAGGTAGTTTGAGAATTAGGGGAAGGAATGATTTAGCAAAGCATTCTTGTTAAAAGTGTACATTTCATTGAAATTAAACTGAAACAGGAGTCAGCCATTGCTATTTTTTAGGAAAAAAAATATTAAATAATAAAAAGTAGTGATGTTTATATGTGTCGTGGTTTAAGTCCAGCCGGTAACTCATAACTACGCAGCAACTCGCTCACTCCCCACCCTTCCTCCTTGCTCCACTCCTGGAGTGATGGGGAGGAGAATCGAAAGAATGCAATTTCCATGGATTGAGATAAGAACAGTCCAGTAACTAAGGTATAACACAAACCACTGCTGCTACCACCAATAATAATAATGATAAGGAAAATAACAAGGGGAGAGAATACGATTGGTCACCACCCGCCAACCGATAGCTAGCCTGACCCAATCAGTGATCTGGGCTTTCCCTTCTGATTTATGGTCAGAGTACACATTACTCAGCAACAACTAAAAACATCGGTGTTATCAGCATTGTTCCTAGGCTGACAGTCAAAAACACAGCACTGCGCCAGCTACTAAGAAAGAGAAAAATGACTGCTACAGCTGAACCCAGGACAATATGGATTGTAGTGGTGAAATCATCACAGAAAAGTAACAGAGCACTAAAATGCTCAGGTGACATCAGTCTGAATATACAGTTACAAGCTAAGTGGTAACTCCATCTATAAGAGACTGCAGAGGAATGTTGGTCATTACCTCCTTGGGCTGTAAGATTGAACTGACCCATGCTTTTGTTTGAGATCACGAACTGTACTTTTGGGAATATTTGCTAATTGAATTAGCACACAGCCAAATGCATATAAAGATTGCGTGGCTAACCCAAGAGTGAAGAGACACTTGTGATTTCAGATTGCTTCAGAAAATTCAGGCTCCACACAAGGGAGTATGACAAACTTTATGAGGTAGAGTCTAGAACCATGAAATACAAGATAGAACATCACCAAACACAGAGATAAACAGAGTAATTTCTGCACAGACATGCAGTGTTTCATACGTAAGGCAGTAAGGCAGTGGATCTAATGGCAAGATATGAAATGCATTAAAAAGATATGAAAGGGAGGCAAAACAGAGATCCATGGACATTTAAAACTGATCTGAGGATGGAAATGACAAAGAGGATTAAAACTGCAGGCAGAAAAAAGAGCTAGCCTTTTTATGAGTTCACAGTGTTCTCTGTACTTCTGCTTGCAATTATACTCCAGGGTGGTAATCGCTCATCAAGAACATCAAAAAAGAGTAATAACTATTGTAATGGAAATTATTCCATTCATACTGTGTGATGAGCCTTTTTCATGATCCAGAATTAATTTATTCTACATCAAAAATACTCAAATTATACTACACCAGTGTTTAAGCACAGTGAGACTCATAAACCTTTAGAATGACAATTCAACTGCAGTTAAATGAAAGTCAAAGGAAGCTTAAGCTCATTTTAAACATAAGATATACTAACATTTATTTCAAACACTGGATTGAATATATTGCAAGGTAATCTTCAACAAACTAAAGTCTATGGAAAGGCCATATATTTCATCTTTCTTTATAATGAAAGGCTAATCTAGCTTTCAGACTGATTTCCCAAAACCACTGCTTATTTCTTCTTGCTGTTTCTCATTAATTCTTACCTTCCAGACTCAAATGTGAACCAAGTTGAGTCACGTCCATATCTCCTCAAAGAGCTCAGAGGCCACATGACCAACTTGACCTTGGCATTGTGGATGTCCCAGAGATAGATGTTTTCATGTGTGATCTGCATTGTACATTCCCCATAGATATCTAAATTTGGTGTAGGCATAAGATATACATTGAATCGTTCTGCAAGAAACAAACACAGAATAAGATATGGCCAGTTAAAGCAAGATTTTATACTGAGAAAAAAAAAATAATCAATATGTCTTTAGGTGCTGCTGGTTCAGAAATCAAGGTCCAGTTTCTAGCTTTGAACAGAGGAGAGGATCCACTGATATTAAAGAAGCCTTGCTAGTGTACATTGGTGGAGTAAGACTGAAACATCTTTCACAGATGATCTGCGATGTCCCTCTGACATATGTCCCTCTGACATATCCCCCTGACATATGTCCCCAGCAAGTTAAGTGAAGTCTTTTTTCCTCACATTAAGGTCAACAACTCTTTGCAAATCAAAATTTACAATGACTTGACCTCTGATAGACACTCCTCTCTCAAAGAATAGAACTATAGGTATCTTGACAAACCACTGTCCCTTAAAAAGTCTGTACTTCAAATAGCAAACTCAGGTTTACTTATCAAAGCTTGTTAATAATTATGTTCCTTGTGTTCAATTTCTATTTATTTGCCAAGTCATTATCATCTGTCAAATTAATAACATTTTAAATAATCTGTTGCTTTCTTGAGAAATCTGATTCAACATGATATATTATTATGGTCATGACATCAACTGCTATCAGCTGCTCTTTCACTGCAAAGTGCACTCATTGCAGTAAGAGGCAAAGGGCATTAACAATTTTCTGAAGTGCCTGAATTGCATTTGATCTAACAAGCGATGCAAAAAGTATCCTTAAAAAAAAGGGAGAAAAAGAAAACAACACAAGATGATATAAAACACCATTAACTCACATGGAAGGAATTACACCACAGCAACAGCAGCAGAATTTTAAATCAAAATTCAATTTTCTTTGAGGAATAACTAATGTTTCTATAGGTTGCTTCTATGAAGAATGAAAATGTCAGTTAAATTTCAAGTTGTAGAGTTGAAAGTGCTAGCCTATATTTTAACTCTAAAGGCACTGAAATCTTAGGGGCTTAATAGCATAATATGGGGGATTGCAGCTGATTCACAACTTCCTCTCACAATTTTCTTTTAGTTTTGATGTAGGATAGAAATACAAAATGTTAATAGTACTGCACTGAGGGGTGTTGATAAAAAAGTTAAGAACAATTTAAAGTATGAGTAAGTGCAATGCTCACTCAACAATCAGTACTGGGAAAATGTACTTTAAAGCGATACCTGATCAGAAACTTGTCTCTAACTACTTGATAAACGAATTACAGCTTGGTGTGGTACATTTTTATGCCACCATTTGAACCGAATTTTCTCATAAAAATTAGGAAGGAATTTAAAATAATCAGAAGAGGAATAAAGTGAGATAAATTTATCATAATAGTCAAAATTAGACCCAGCTTCCCATTGTTTGACATTCAATATCACAAATACTATGGCTGTATTTTTAAAACATTTGATATGTATATATATATATACACACTTTTATGAAAAGTCAGTGAAAATATTACAAATAAGTGAGTTAATATAAAATATGTTAGAAATGGGAATAAGAGGGAGAGAGAGATAATATAGTAGCAAAAGTTTGGGTGAGGAATTAATGGAAGCAGGGAACTGCTCATGAGCAGCTAGAAGTAAACTTCTCATCCCCAATGCTATTCTGTTTCAGGCAATTTAATTTTGTCCTATTAATGACTCCCCAATTTATTCATTCGTTCTCATAGCCATTCAAACTCTTCTCCCAGGCTCTAATTCTCATTAATCACAGTAATGACTGTTTGCCCTAGAAGTTTAATTTTATGACTAACGTCCAAAGTGTGAAACTCCTAACGTTTTGTAAAAGCCATCTGACACAAAGCACAAATAGATTAGCATGTGCTCCTGAGATCACTGCAAAGAATTTCCCCTAACCCTCAATGGAATGCACTGGGCACAACTCTAACCAAATGTCTACTAAAGTAAAAGCAAGGACTCACACATGGGAGTATGAGTCAATGAGTACACTGGGAAGGGAATGGTAGAGAACATGCTAGGTTATACTTTGCAATGATATTCTAGATAGATAGATAGATAGATATAGATAGATAGACGCCCTTTTTCAGTATCTGTGTGTCATGCAAAAATGCCTAGGAGCTCTGCAGGTACGCTTCTATCATAAAAAAGAAGTTTATGTTCCAGTTTTGCATTGTCATGCTGTTACTCATTGTTACCTTCTCTATTTGAAACGAAGATGCAGATGATTGACATATCACTTAGTTCTCTTTTACATCACATGATATCACACAGTATGCCTATGGGGGAACAGTGCTACCATGTGAGAACAGAAATCTTTCTTTCCCTGTCTTCAGTGACAAGAGTGCCTCAGACAGCAGAGAAAATGGAAAGGTACAATTGTTTTCTGAAGTAAACATTAAACTGTTGTTCTGAAGGTAGAAATTACCAGGATACTCATGAAACGCTCAACTTCTCTGAAGTGTTTGAGGATATTATTGCATGAAGGGTATTCAGGACATATGGTATCCTCAAACTGTCAGGAGACATTTGCTGACTTTGGAAGGTCAGTGTCTGAGGTGAAGTGCCACAGATTAAAGAAAGTATGTCTGATTAAACTGAACATCAGCTGCAGGGCAAAATGTAGTACAGTTGGAACTTACTCAAATTAGGAAGAAAAGCAAGCATATAAATGTATGCGTTGGAGAAGATTGAGGATATATATATTTGTTTTTGAATTAAAAACTAATGCTTTTGCATAGTGGGAAATTTAGGACATGGAAAGGTGCAGATACTATTAAATGATTTTAGGAATGCAAGGTCCAATTTTTCCATTTCAGAAAATATTTAAAAGAGGTATCTAGATAACTGTAATACAATCATTAAATTTTTAGTGGCAAGTTTTGCCCTTAAACTTATCCAGGTAAGAATAAACATTCTTAGGCTAGATTTGGAAATCCCTGCTGAATTCTTTCATCAGATCTTCTGAATCACATTGAAAAGGATATTCTGCTTTTCTGTGGATCAGACACTATGTGCGTATGAGTATGATAACAACAGTTCACCTTACCAACCCTAACTGTCCTATGATTCTATGATTCACTGGGTAGTAAGATTATGTAAATAAATAGAATTTAATGAGGGATCCAGAAAAAAGGGAGATTGAAGATACCAAACAAGGAGACGCTATCCTGTTGAACAAGACAAGGCTGAGACTGAGCAGGTGCAGTTCCTCAGCATCCAGCATCACTATCCTCCTCCCTCCTCTAAAATCTCTGAGAGCAATGTTCAGGGAATGGGGGAACCAGGATGAGAAAAAAAAATGCTGACATATCGACACTTATTATTCTACTCTTTTCAGTGTAACTCCTCTTTCCCATCTCCTTGAATAAGCAGAGCAATACTTCATCATACACTTTCTGCATGTAAAGGTGCTTAGCATTTAGGCTTTGGCAGGAATATGACCTTTAATAACGTTTTCCAGAGCACAGGAGCACAAGAGTCTTCGTTAAAACAAGCATATTGACTGAAACAGAGACTTGGCAGGAAGTCTGAAAAAACCCTCAGCCTTTCAGCTCCAAGTCCAGCTGTACCGGGGAAGAAAAAAATGACTGATGCCCAAAGATAATGGTTCTAGCATTTTATGACCAGATTCCTTTGCCTAAGTCATCCCACTTAGAAAACTGACCAGATGACATTGAAATATTGCAGTCAAGATGCTTTGTTTCATTTGAGCTTTAATGGGAGGAAAAAATACTTATAGAAGGAGGCAGGCAGGTTGGTGGGGTCTGTATGAGAAAAGGGTTTAAAAGCAAACATTCAATCTCTATCTGGGAAAAAAAAAAATCTTCCATCTTTGAGACTTCTGCTGCCGCCCATCTGTGACTAACTTTCACATGGAAAGAGAGCTTTAAGTCTTAAAGTCAGGGCATTTTGTGTTCATTCATATGTCGGGTTTATGAGGATGATTCCGTCCTGCTTTACACAGTGAAGAACCAGGACTCCAGAATTAATTTTATTCCTTTGCTTGCAATTTTTCTGCTTTGAATCCATTAAAAATGGAAACATTTATTAACATCTCAATGAAAATATAAAACTTACCATAAATAAATTATTTTAAATTGTTTCACTGATAAATAGTAAAGTAGAGAATATGAACTCTCACTGGATGAACCAGCATTAAAACTGTAAACACCTTTCTTCTCTGAATAAAGCTTGCTATATTTGGTTTATGAAAAAGACACCAAACCCAAAACCACAAAAAAACCACCCCAACAAAACAACAAAACAACAAAAAACCCAGCCAAATCCCAAAATGTAATAATGCATTAAGGATAACAGAAGATGAATAAACAACAAGCAAAATGCATTTATGTAATAAATCAATCACTAACAGAGATTCTACAGAGTCTAGAAAATAACCAAACCCAAGTCATCCTTGTGAAAGTAATTACAAAGACTCTATGTTTTGGCTGTAGCTTGTAATCTCAAGATGTAGCATAAAGAAATAATTCATAATCCCCTTCTGAGAATTCAAGGAAGTTATTCACTATGAAAGGCTACATTTTTGCTAACAGAAATTAATGATGGCCTTTCATTAAAACCCAGAAAGCAAGACTGCTGCAGTATGGATTTTTTTTTTTTTTGAAAAAAAAGAGAGTAAAAAAAATGTTATGAAAAAGAGAAAAAACTTTACAAAGGAAGTAATTTTATAAGATAAAATTTAAATATTAGGCAGGAAGTAAAAGTAAGAAATCAATTATCTTCCAAACTTTACCAGAATTCTAAAATAAAATTTAGTTTCATAATGCATTAAAATAAATAAAACAAATAGGCCAAAGAACCAGTAATTAATAATATAAAAGCATCATATTGACATCACAGGCATGACACCTACAATAACGGAGCTACAGCACCAAAGATGGATCAGGCGTTTTCTTCAGTTTAAAAAATTGCCTTACATTTGCCTACTTTCTTCAGTGTTTATATCAGGTTTATAAGAAAAGTTTAATGGAATATGATTTAGTGCAAGTAATAGTGTTATCGTTTAGCATTCAAAAGAGCTAGGAATGGAGTTCACCAAAAGGAAGCACCTGTTCTTAAAGAGTGAACTTATTTGCACTGTGTACATATAATGCTTTTTTAACCAATATTGTATTAAATATTCTGGTTTCGTTTCTCAGTAAACATAGTCTGTAATGTCTATTTGGATGACTTCTTTCAAATTACCTCCTTTTATAAAGAAAGAAAATAGTGACATGTTGGAAATAGTGATATCTAAAAACCAACCAACCAGCCAAACACAAGCATGAACAAATTCTGGATATGATAAAAGGCAGGCAGGTAAATAGATTTAAAAAAAAATAGACTTGTTTTTGTTGTTATATTTTGAAGTGTATTACAAAAGCTTCTAAATGCATTAAGAGCTGGAAAGGAAGTTTCCAATTTTCCCAGATGAAGACAGCACTCTACATTTAAGATTTCTTTTCCTAGCAGCAGCTTAAGAAACCTAAGGGATATGAAATGTGTGTGTCAGTATCACAGGATATCGCTTAGAAAACAACTTGTCAACAGTGTTATCAGATCCAGCATTACTGAGTCCAGGTTTTCTTTTCTGAAGTTATAACTGTGCATTATTATTTGTCTTAGCATTGTATATACAGCTCCGCTGCCATTATGCTAAATTAGTTACCTGAACAGGATCATTTAGCCTTTACTGATTTTGATTTAATACTATATTTTTATTCTTTATCAAATAATCTAAATGGGCATTCATAAACAGTAAGAGATTCTGGTGTGAAAATAAATTAAAACAGAAACAGGATTGCTGCTATAGGGCTGAGGAACACAAACAAATCACTTGGATTTGCAGGAGAGAGAAGGTAAAATGGTTGGAGAGTAACAGAAGCTCCATTCCAAATCTCACTTTTATTGGAATCTGCGTATCAATGCAAACTAAGCAGCTATTAGTTGTGAGCCTTAAATGTAAAAATTAAACCACCTAAGGGTCATTTTCTACAGGAGAGTTTACACAACAAGACTTGCAGTAATACTTCTTGAAAGTAATAACAGATGAAACCCAGTGAGAAGCTTTCTGTTACTGATGTGCTTTGCACAAGAATTGCTTAGATGTCTTCTCTACCTGCAAGACATAATAGCTAGAGGTCTCTGCTATAACCAGTGCAGATCTATAGTTTGGTTCTTTTAGCTATCAGCACTGCAGAATTGCTGGGTGCTGGAGGGTCACACAACAGTACAACTACAATAAAATAGATCTCACTAGCACCTACTGAACAACTTAGAATTGTAAAAAAAAGCCAATCTCTTTCAGATTGCTGCACTGCCGTAAATTTTTAATCTCATATGACAGAAATGCCTTATGAATGTATGGTCTTTTAGCCACAACATTTGCACACTATGCAGCAATCTTGCCAGCCTTTGGAACAGTTTTTAAAACCATATTATTGCATTTGTGTCACAAAGAATCAGGTGTCTTTCCTTCTGAAATCAAAAGCTCATCTCAGAACCACAAGAGTGAGAGCAGGAAGACGAACAGGCTCATATATAACAAAAAGAGGTATTAGACAAATCCAATAAAGCAAATATATTTTCCTTGCCAAGTATTTTCTGAAATGTGAATTCTTGGGTATAAAAAATATAAGTAGCAATTTTTATGGTCCTTACAAATGTTACAAACTGAAAGCACTGGCTACAGTGGTCACATACAGCTGCTAAACCACACATCAATACAACAGAAACCACAGGTTTTTTTCCTGCGATAGCAAGTTTACCTGATCCCCCCAATGAATACCCTTACAAATACATAACGTACATCATGAAAATGTCCTTAAGGACAGGAATAGGCTAGTAGTTAGACAGATGAAGAACACAGCATAGTAAAAATATTATTGCCCATAGGTTAGTTCTTTTATGATCAAGGAAGTATATAAAATTTTAAACATTTGAGAAAATCTTTAGGGCAAAATAATGATTCAAAAAAAGACAGTGGAATTAATGGTGGGAAAGACAGTGGAATTAAAAGAGGTGGGATTAATGGTTAATACACCTGTTCTTTTGGGATTGATGTTATTAACACCCTGCCATATCAGAGAGATATCAACAGCAAAACACCATTATTCAACCGCTTTTAGCTCTTAAAATGTAAAAAAATATAACATTTTTAAAACTGAAAAACCACTAGCACTGTAGTCTTTATGACAATGCAATCTGTGGTCTTGCTCAGATACTAAGACACATTTCTTGCTCAGTGCCCTGAAAGAAAGCCTTTGTATGGTTCAGGCAACAGAACGTGCATGAAATTAGATGCTGAGGCTTTATGATTCTATCACAGGTTATACAAACAGTATTCCCACATCTCTGTTTCAAGTAAATATGAATACACTGAGTAACTCAAGAGGAATTATATGAAGTTGACATACTTGAAAAATGTTTTGAAATAATGAGTACTATAGGTACTATACTGGTGTACAGTTCTTACTTAACACACACACACACACACACACACACACACACACACACACACAAGACCCCGAGAGTGACACGTCTGCCATTTTCACAAAGAGCAAGGTTTAGACGTTTCATACATGTAGTCACTTTTCATGAACTTCAAATTGGAAAATTAACTTTGACCTTTCAGTTTCAGGTCAGCAAAAAGTCAGCAAAAGCTCAGTATACTTCTGAAAGGTTTTTAGGTATCCTTGGAATTACAGTTTTCCGGTTTTGCCTTTAAAAGCTACAATATGGGGAAAATGTACAAGAATTTTTTTTGTTTCTTAATCATGACTCACAAATTGATTCCACCCTCCAATTAGTCACCTTTTCCATAACACTGTCATGTGGGGAATGACACTGCCATGCTTGCAGAATAAGATAACTAATACAAACTGAAGTCACGGCTCCACTCAACTATTTTACTGAAGGAATCTGCTAAAGAAATTTGAGTTCAACTGCAGGTTCTTACAGCACAGCAAAATGAACAAAATTCTAGATTTCATATGAATAGTCTCTGTACACTTCCCCCCTTCCAAGTTGATTAAAAACCTCCCTACACAGAATTTGCTTTGCTTCAAAAAACTTTGAGTTTTACAAATGCGTATTAAAATGCAGAATTGTGCATAAAAATGATGGGGAAAGAAAGTGCACAGGTACCAGAATTACTTGTCTGAGATACTGTAACTAATGATTTAACAGAGGATGCTCATCAAATATTTGAATTATACATATTCAGCCACTTGGTTTAAAAGAGTATATCTAATAATACCCATCATGCATTCTTATTCATTTGATTTGTACAACAAATACATGCTTTGTATTACAATAAACAATAAAGTAAATTACAGTAAACAATAAAGATGCTAATTATGTTCATATACATTGGTTGATAGCACTGGAATTAATTTCTAGTCCAAGGCAATTGCATCAAGATTAGTTCACACAACAAAACTAATCTATGCCTTCTGGAGGTCATGTGTGCGTAACTGAATCTCTTTCCAGAACAAGATGAAATGTAGTATTTGCCATCCATGTCTGAAAACTGCTGGACAGTATATGAATTCACTGCAGAAAGCTTGAGGAATTTAAAGCTATTTTTCTGCTCACATCACATGCTTTTGATGATTTGTTCCTTTTTGCATTTGTGAAGGAGTTCCATCTGCTCACATACTTTTCAACAGCATGCATGAGTTTTATACCTATAGCCTATGAGCATATAGCTGATAGGATGCTTTGAGTAGCGTCTGCTCATTAGCACTCTCCTACATAAGTAGCTCTCCCTTTGTTAAGTATTTTGAGACTACAGATTAAGTTCTGTGTCTCATAGCTGGCAAACAACTTCACAAACATTTTGAACTTCTTTTAAATCGCACTTGAACACATCTGATGTTTGAAAAAGAATTCTTAAAGATTTCTGTATATTTTATGTCATTAGGTTCAGAGATGTCTGTACTCTTCTACAAAATTAATACAATATAATTAATACAGTGCTATTTATTCAATAATTTAATTACTTATTTTTGTTTATAATGATAGTTGGCTTGATATTTTATGACCATTGAGGCAGTTTGTTTTATTACTCTGTTAAAAGCTGTTGGATCTTGTAAAAGCTTCAAGACAGTAATTATCATTAAGAGCTGTAATAGAGAGAAGAATAAATGAGCACATTTTGTGTTGCCATCATGTTCATTAATAGGAATTAAATGAAAGGACAATCACAGATTTTCTTTTGTTATTGCAAGTACCATGCACTAGCATCCTTCCTGTACACATCTAATCCAAAGTTTTGTTCCAACTAGTCTTCATATGAAGACTTGCAAGCTCATGCTTAATGCTGACTAGCATCTGTCACTGCCCTTTTCACCTGTATTTGACAACATTTAGATGACCTTGAATTAATTACTTAAGACAGGTATGAGTTTAAAGCAAGTATGTGTTTTGCAGACCTAAGTAGTGTTGATATGTTCATGCTGTCTTTTAAAGGCTGTGGAACAACAACTGCTGTTTTATTCTTCTGCACAGAGGCCATTGTTTCCAGAACCAGGAGGGTCATAGTCATAATTTCCTATGACAGCAAAAAGTGAATGCAAAGAAGACATGAAGTCACTCTATGTGAGCTATCTGGCATGGAACTTAATCATCTTTATTTGTAGGAATAATAGGATTAAGCCTCAAAACCACACTCAAACATTTAGCTATTAATGATATTATGTTTTAGCCAATAGTAAAAATCCTTCCCACAAGCACAAGGAAGATAACACAGGACATCGCCTAAGAGCTGATCTAGGAGCAGCTAGAGAGTTACTTACCATTTTGTTCTCTCTGGACTCCAGCAGCAAGCAAATCTGGTTCCCCAAGACTTATATCATTGAGTCTGGTTCCTAGACACTCCATGCAGAGATGTTTGCACCATTCCTCTGCCTCTAGCTCTGGGAAAAAGAAAAAAAAAAGAGAAAAAAAAATTGTTCATGCTAACATTTTACTCAAAAAAGTGTGAAGCTAAATCAATACCTTCTTAGAGACCAGCTTTATGACAATGTGCTTGTTTTGAAATGTAAGTTATTACCATAAAGTTGCACATGAATTACTTTGCCTCAATTTATGAACTTCTAAAAAGGTTTACTCCATTAGGACTGCATCTTCCACTTTTAAGTTTGGGCATAGGTGGAGTTAACAAAAAAGAGAAATGAGCACTAAGTTTTCAAGGCCGTATATTTCTAGTAGCCCTTCTTGAAAGAAAAATGCAATTTAGAAAAATGTTACATATAATATCTGAAATATTCTTTTCTGCTTTTTAGGTAGGTGAATCTGAACTGTTAAAGAACTTTCTCTTTCTAGAGAATGGTCTAGAAATGTTTTAGACCATTTTCCCAGGAGGAAAGATAAAAAACAGTAATAAAAGAGATCTTCAAACACAAAACATCCTTCTCTGCTGTACTGGATGGCTATGCCTGTCAGATTAGTCTGAATAATTAATTTCTTCAGTTCTGTTCACCTTCTTCTAGTCTCAGAGAAATTTGGGCACTAGTTGGAACATTATTATGAAAGTTTAAAACCACCTAGTACTTTCTGAGTTCTCCATTGCATCCCATTGACATACATCTGAGAGCTCCCTATCTGCCAGTTTACCAAGACATAAAGCCCCCAAGGCATAACCCTCTGAGACACTACAACAGTCCTCACTAAGACACCCAGCCTCATCCTATCTACTTCTCAAACTTAACATCACAATATCTCTGGCACTGATCAAACAAAAAATCACAGAGTGTGAAACCACAGCTAATAAAAGTCATGCAACTAGGTTGGCTGTCTTTTATTACAGGATAGGCTTCACCTAAGGGAAACTTTATGGAGCAGCTTGGCACCAGGCACACACTGAGCATCCATTGTCATAGTCAGTCTATATCTGATCATCTTTAGGAGTGTGTGACTCCAGTCATCTAGAAATGTCTCTATTAAATTGCCACAGTTCTTTCATTCCTATTTTTGGGGACATCTGGAAAACACTTTTGTGACAATCTCTCCAACATAATGTTGAAATTTGGAGAGAGAGAAAAATACTGCATTAAAGCCTTGAAGCATCTAGTGATGATGACTCATTGTAATTAGTGAAAATTTATATCCAAGAAAAATCTTTCCATGCCTAATTGGTACAGTCCTAAAATCCTTGCCTGTTTAGGCATAGGTCTCAAGTGACAGAAACATTTGCTAGACAAGAAGGGGAGACAGGCATGCAATTCCAGGTTTCCAAAAACATGTGGATACCCTCCTTCGCTCAGGACCCTGAATACTCCAGGAACAGATTGCTCTTGGGTTATTCTGCTTATCACCTGACCAAGTTCCCAGACAGACAGTTCAAATGATAGAGCCTGTTTTGGGACTTTTGAGAGCCACATGTGGTTGCTGTCCCAGGGACACAAACAATTTGGGGGACTTCTTCAGAGTGCTGTAAGAATAGCAGTTTCCCTTAACCCTTCCTAATTTTTTGTGGTCTTTGTCCCAGGACACAGATCCCCAAAGTTAGTCTTCTCATAACATGCTCAGCTTCTGGTGGCAAAAGACAGAACATTGTGTCAGTAACATGGAGATGACATTTAACTTTGTGAGAAGAAAATACTGAGTTAACAGCATACTGGTCCTTAACACTTCTACATTCTACAGGTACAGCCTCCTTGATGGAAGTAAGGAGAGAATAGGCATGTTTCTGGACATCAACAAAAACTTAGGCCTTTTAAAAGTAGTAAGATGAATTTGTTTAAAAGCCTACTTCCAAAACCCATCCTCTGCTCATGCATGAATAAATTTCCCTCTTTTTTTCCCTTCCTCTCCTTCAGCCTTTGTAATTTCCTTGGATATTTGTGAGGTCTGTTGAACCACAGCCATACCTTATAAATCAGACCAACCCATGGAGAGGGCTTCATGCCAGGGAGATCGCAAAAGTGGACCACAAGGTGTACTGCCACATTCTGGGCACTGAGGGTCAGTGCACCAGCACATGGGTAAGTTAAGTCCCCCTCCCAGGAGGTTTTCCACTGAGTCACCCAATATCTGCTTCCAGCAACAGATAAACTTGGGGGAATTAGCGCAGAAAGGCTGGTAGCTCAAAGGTGGCAGTGCAAAAATAGTCCAGCGCTCCCATGTTTCCTTCCCTTATCTCTAGCAATATTTTTTCTGACTAAACAGGAACAATATATATGCTGACAGAATGCATAGCTCTGTATAAAGCCTGCAGTTTTTCATGGAGTGTGGTCAGCATTTAACATTTTACGTGTTTTACAAAATCTGCATTTTCATTATGCCTGCACCCAGATCAAAAGGGTACATTTTTGAAATGCAGAATGAGATTGATAGTAAACAAACACTAAATTAACCTTTCTAATTTTACCAGCATCTAAGGATAAAGGAAAACATATTGGCATTTCCATAAATCCAGCTTAACATCAATATACATTCAAAACAGGGCTCATGTAAAAGCAGCATTTTCTATTTATATGTACTCTCACACCACATTTCCAGTAGGGATTTTTTTTTTCTGGAAACAAGCAAAAAAACCCCATTGTTCTAGAAAGCTGTTTCTTGTAGGAGTCTTTGTTTTCATCTTAGTCCACTTGCCTCTCTCTATTACAGGAACATCTAGATGCTGAAAGCTGGGATCCAGAAACTGCCTTTCAGGGTGTTTGGCAGTTTAATTTAAGTGGCTTCTTCTTAACTGCCAGACATTGATAATTAGACCCAGATTAGACTGTTCTCCAAGTGCCGCAGAGAAAAAACTTATCTTTCTTACGCTGAGCATTATAAGATAATGGCTATATTTTGCACAGTGGGCTATAACATACATTGTATTGTCACAAAACTCAAAATCTGTATCTTACAAAAATGACTGACTTTTAATACTACAGAAAATACAGTTTCAATGCAGAACTGAAATATCTTTCCACAGAACTGTGAGGATTTGTGTCTGCTGTCAGAAGCATCAACATTACCTACAAATGCATGTGGAAGGTCGAGGGTATGAGGGTACTGTGTGAGTTAGTTTTACCTAATGCGTCCTGATAGTTCTTGCCTACTTGCAAGGGATTCCCTTCAACCTTTTCCTTGACAGACATGTGGAATATTCTTTAGAAGCATCTGAATTACCTTTCAAAGCCAAAGCGATATTTCTGCTTTCATCATGTGTATCTAAGAAGTTTAACATTCTTTTGCAAAAGGTCTATAGAATGCTTTGTGTTTCTGGGTAACAAATTAAATATTAGATATTACTTTAAAAAATTGCTATAACGTATAGTACACAAAGGCATCATTCATAGTAGCAATCTTTAAGAATGACAGCTACCATGTCACAAAACAGACATACTACTGTTACTTATTTTGATTATATGCGTATATTGAAACAGATGAAATATTATAGTGGCACCAAGTCATAAAACACCGTCAGCAAAATTCTTCTCTTTAATGCATGTGAATTAGATTTATTGGTGGCAAATGCTGAGTTTTTAGTCCGAAGTGCTACTTGTCATTGAAAATTTTAGTTTCCTTTTAAGATAACTGAATTCTTGGACTGAATGATTAATGGTAAAGCATGCTTTCACAGCTATAAATAAAATCCAAATACTTGCATTTTCATCTTTACTGTTATTCAATTACAAAATGCTGCTGTACAGATGTCATGAGGTGAGCTAAAGTACAGAGATGGGAGACCTTAATTAGGCATTGTTTATTGCATAGGAAATATTACTGGGAACAAATCTGTAAACTTGCTATCTGAAAACAGACACCTTGTTACTGACAGTATTTTCCTGCAGTTTAACTGATCTTCGAGTCATGCTGAGGCCATTTCCACTTCATTTCCCAGGTGATTAAAATGGTGCTGTGCCTACTCCAACCTCTGAAGGAGTGTAATGCAAGTATGTAATACCACAGGATGATCAATGGGTTTGTTAATATAATAATGATGATGAAATAATATTAGCAAATGGTGCTAGAAATCTAAATTTGTAACAGTGAAAGACTGCTACTTACAGTTTAAAATAATTCATGTTACACAACATATTCTGCAGGGAGGGGGTGGTGTGGCAGAGATACAGGTACACAGATGCATTTCACTTCACTGTCCTTAGAGATCCTCCAGATCTTTAAGGCTAGGAGCAGAACTGTTTTCAGACTCTTAACTAAGAGAGCACTTTGTGTGTGGACTAAACCAAATACCTTCTAAATTCTGAAAACTTCACCTTCTTTCACATTTACCTCATGTGTTCACATTGCACAATCCTGTCATCTCCCACCACAAGAAGTTGAGAGCATAGCCTGAGATAATGCCCCAAAGAGGTGACCACTCCTGCTCAGTTCAGCTTTTGTCTTAGTCAATAACGTGATTTCCTGCTCTGGAAGCCAGTGCCCTCCATTCCAGGAGATCCCTTCCGCCACTTGCAGCAGCAAATTATGGCATTCATAAAAAAAAACTAACAAGACTCAATTCATGCACAACTCCTAAAGTTTAAAAACAAAGATGAGGAAGTTTGTCTCTTCGCCTTCTCATGCAACCCACATAAAGTGATGTGACCAAGGATTCAAGTTGGAAATAACACGCATGCAATGTTACAGAGGGACAGCAAACATTGTCCTTGTGGAAATCAAAAACCTCACTTACTTTATGAGCTTTCCCTAATGTCAAACTGTATAAACCTAAAATGTTTGACTCTCCTTCCCTTTAAACTTATCTAAGGGGTCCAAATCCAACTGAATATTCTTAGTCTGAATGAAATTGGAGAATTTTTCCTGCTTGGATTAGTCCGGACAGGACTTAGACCTCATAATCTCTACTAAGAAAGATGGTGCAGAAAAGTGCCAATTTATCTCTTCTAAAAATCACTCAGCCTTAATTAGAAGTTAATAGGAAAAAATACAATAAAATTCTCACAGGACTGATGTG